AATCGCATAATACTGTAGACGGTCCATGCGGTATCAATTCATTTACGTATTTGGATTTGTGCAATATTTATTTTACTTATAACAAACATTTGAATGACTCCGCGTCAAAATAGTAAAGCTCAAAACTGGATGCTGAGACATCAGACATTCTGGTCCATTGTAAAAAAATGGCGCATTGGACCAGAGGCACTGCACATCGGTCAGGTCTGACGGTCCGATGTCTTTTGCATAGACTGGTACATAGCTTTGATGAGGAAGAGTGCCTCTTCCAAAATTGCGCATTTCATGGCCCCTGGGTCAGGGTTCTGGTATTAGGACGGGGCTGTAATGAACATATAATGAAAATGCATTAATTCTTTGAAAATCCTTTCTTCTGCTCAGGGTTCCTGTGTGATGGGGACACTACTGATTATATGGTGGAAATGCATTTTTTCTTTGTTCCTCTGCTCTGCCTCTGGGTATTAAGTAATCAAACTAAGCATGTTAAGTGTATAGTTATGATGAGGAATGGTGCCTCTTTCAAAATTGTGAATTTCATGGCCTCTGGTTTAAAACACAAACCAAATTCAATTGTTGGAAAGTTGTTGCATGATACTCAGGTGACCTATAAGGCCCGTGGGCCTCTTTTATTTTTGCTTGTCAAAAATTTCTGAGTCTGCATTTGATTTGGTTGGTGTGGACCCCCTGGAAAAAATTTCTGGATCCTTGCATAGATAATTCCATTCCCCATACCCATACACAAAATAAATTCACTTGAAAAATATTGTTTGATATTTTGTCGTTGGGTAACATAGCATTCCAGGGCCTTATTGTCACTGCAAGTATTCTCGGACTGGTACGTTGTCCTTAATGCCATATAAATATACATGTATATATAAGAGAAAAGACATGTTATATACAGTAATTATGACATGTCTTTTCTCTTGTAAAGGAGGGGAGTAGAGTATTAATTGTTTTTCAAGCATGTGTGTATGTATATATGTATGACTTTTATCCCATGAAATTATATGGTGCAGGTGGACATTTTTGTGCTATTGATTTATTTCAAAAGATTGATTTTCAGGTCATCTGATCAAAAAGTTGTTTCTCATCATTTGAGTATTTTACTTTGTATGTGTAAATTAATGTTCTGCAAAAATCCTTGTCTTTGCTCAAAATATATATACCAGTGATAGTGTTGGTTTCTGACTTTGGTGTGCTTTGTACCAGCTGTTTGTGTGAATTTCCATGTTTGCATGTTCTGTGTTAGGAAAAAATTCTCCTCACCATTGCAATGGGGTAAATGGAACATTGAAGTGGAGCTGCATGAATTTGATAGAAATTGCCAAATTAACTCTGACATAACCAGTAAATATGTTGCTGTGACACATCTGTTTTTGTGATCATTACTTTACTCTTGCTTTCATCATATTTTTGTAGCAAAAACTTAATTTATTTTATCTATTCTATAAAATGCTTATAAAAATCGTGGAAGGAGACAATTAAACAATCTTCTTCTTATTGGGGATTATTATCAGACATTTCTACTGGGAGGTTACAATGGGGGCTTACTTTGGCTGATAAGACAATGTAGATTACATAATTCAGTGTCTCTCTAAGGCAAGACAAATAAACTCAGTCTGCAACTGCATGCTGTAGCAATTGAATTATACTTTAATCAATAGCAATTCATGAGAGATATGTATCTTCCAACTCCATCTCAAAGGTGTCTGAATGCACATCACAGCTGCTTTGCACCAATCACACAGTTTTTAACAGTCTGTGACAGTCTAGGTCACTTGGAACTGCTCACAAAATGATTTAAATTTGCCCCCCAAAATTCAATTTCATGAATTTCAAGTTTATGTTTTTGAGATCCTGTGTTGAGGTGTTTTATGTGGGTCATGTCTGTAAAACTTATGTAAATCAGATTTACCCAAAAGAAATAACGAAAATGTTGGATCAAATGTTCACAACCTTCAACTATAATTAACTGATGCCTTATGAAGGAAAAGTGAAAGCACAGCTTCTATTAAGAACATACGCAATGTAGCTTACCTACTGATAATTTTTCAAGATATTCTTGATTTAAGATAATGGTGTCATCAGATGTTCGTAGACAAAAAAATCAGCATGCATTACCAGAAGTTTTGAAAAGATATCAATTGATGAAAATTTTTGTATAATTCAAAAAACAATATACAAAAATTACTAAACATATATTCTAGATGTTTTGTTTATCTAAATTTGTTTTAGAAGAAGTTTACAACATTGAAATGTAGCACACAGTTTCTTTAAGTACTGGAACTCTTCAACTCCAGGGAAAATGACAATAAAGTTCAAACTATGTTGCGTATGTCCTTAATTGTGTGAGAATAGTAGGCATGAATGATTACAGTATAAATATGTAGATAAACTCCTGAATAGTAAATTTAGATTGTAATCTGCTAAATCTTTGTTTCTTGGATTTTTGTCATGCATTTTGTTGCTTTCTGCACATGAGTACTTGAACTGGGCTGCCCTCTAGTTAAGCAAAATGTCTTACCACTCTCAAAAACTGATTAATGATCAGACCAAAGGCCTAATTTGCATTTTACTGGTCTGTGTGTGCAGTTGGCATACAGAAGTCTGAATCTATTGGTGCACAGACCAGGATCTTAAAGGGGCCTGATGCAACTTGTAAAACAAAGTATGTAGCAAAAAAAAAATGCCTTAATGTTGTTGAAAACTTAAGTTACTGATCAGAAACATATAATTCAATGAAACAAGAGTGTAAAACTGACAGAGTTTTTGTTTATTATGGCTAAGGAGTCATAAAAACATGAGTTTATATGAAGTGACTCTTCAACAACTAATGAATAGCATCTTTGAGGCAGGGTTTTACCGTGAAGTCACTGCTTGGGATTTTCCATTTGAAGTTTTCATTTTCTTTTGAATGTCTGAAAGGGATGGAAATCATCAGAAATGATGTACTTCTCACTACAATTAAATATTTAGGAAGCTGGAAGTTTATTCTGTTATAGGTGTATGGCTCTGTTATAGGTGTATGGGGGGTTGAGTAGATTTGTCTGGCCAGGAACAGCTGATCAGGACACACTAAAACAGTAGTTAAAACTTGAAACAAACCAGCTGTGACACATATAGGAAGTTAAGGAGACTCCTTAACAGAAAATGGAAAGAGTTTTTTATTTTAATGCTTTTTAAATTGTGTAACTTGAGAGAGAGTTGGATAAGCAATTTCTGGTGCTACTTGATATGAATTTTAATAGAACAGAAGACATATACTTATCTTAAATTTGGTCAATTCATTTTAAGAAAATGATCCTAGGTTAAAAAGAGCATTAAACTCTACTTTTTCTCTGTTTTGACTATGAATTGTTTTGGAAAGTTTTTCATTTTGCTACATCTATAGTTTGAGTTTCTAAATTTAGAAATGTGGTGAGCACAATGTTTTGATTTTAGTTTGATAGTTTTACAAATTTATAATCCATGAATCATGAAAGAATGTCAAATTGAAAAGCTAAATTAAGAAAGATATTTCACATAACCTTGTGGATGACAGAACTTGTCCTCATGTTTTACATGCAATAACAGATGGGGGTGCTGCCAGAGTTATGTAACAAATGAAATAATAATGCTTATAAAATTATTCTTTATCTTAATTCATTCTTGTAAAATAACAATTCACTTTTTTCATCCAGGAGAAGTTCTAAATTGGCTTCATTTTTGCCTGCACTTTTGAGAGGGAGTTTCTTTCTTAACTCACCCACTTAGATATTCTCATTAATATAAAGCTAAGGTTTTTATGTTTATCCCATAAGCAGGGCCGCCTAATTTGTGGGTGTAGAAGATTGACACATTTAATTTGATGATGAACATATGCACTCATCCTTCCAGGGTTTACATAAGCAACATCTCGACCTGAAACGATAATTACCCGCACATGACAGCATAAAATGGCTACTGAATTCTGACTTTGAAGATTTTCAAACCAAGTTCATTCTAAGTGTGTGAGCAATTTGCATGCATTTTGTGCTGTTTTGAGTGAAACTTGAGATATAACTGCAGAGAAATGATAATTTTTAAAAAAAATGGTTGATATAAATGACAATTTTATCTGAATTTCTTGTCATAAATTGACTATTATTTGAATTTTCACTCGGTACATGGAGAGAGTAATATATGATTGATGGCCTTGTGATTATAAGCCAGAATTTGATAACCTCTTTCATTTCCCCTGATTTTGTGCAATATTATTCTGTTCTGTTGCCAAATCAAAGGGACCAAAAGTGCATGGGAAAGGACATGATAGAGCCATTTTTTTGCAATCTGTTGTGCAGCAAGGGAACCTCTGATTTAAACAACACGGATTTAAAAAAAAAAAAACTTTTGATAAAATCCAAACTGTTTGATTTGTGTACTCTGATGTAGAAGTTTCAGGACTGAATTATTTTTTTTCTCTAGGAGCTTGTTTCCTGGCTTTTTTCTGTGTAGTGACAGTTTTAGAGAAGTGTATTGCAATAGGTGTGAAATTTATGGGAGGCTGGGCCACCATTAGCAGCCGAGAGATACATGTCTGTCTTCATGAAGGAGGTGGAAGTTGCATAAAAGCCCTTTTGTTTTACTTATCTGGAGAAGTGACAGAGCAATTACATACTTTTTATCTTCAAAAATTAGATTACTGACAGAATTTCTTCTGTGAAAATGTCTGAAGAAAGAAAGTGCAGTAATCTGTAGATTGCTTTAAGGGAAGATTTTTTTTCTTTGCCTAATATTTATGCTAATATTTGCTGAGCTGTCAGGTAGACTAGATATTCTTTTGTTTAATGGCGTGTAAAAATGTTCTCCATCCGAGATTTACAAAGGGAATATTTCATGTTAATCACTAAATGTACTGATCCTTTCTTCGATATGAACACCATTTGAACATATAAATCTGTTGCATATAAAAAACTGATCAAAAAGCAAAGTGGAAAGTAAACAGTCCAAAACAAATTTAAAAAGTGAAGTAGACGAGTTAGTGGAGATTTACAATAATGCCAGAGATGGACAATAATTGTGACATGACGGAGTTCAGGAAAGGTCATCTGTCCATCACGCTCCCTTGTCTGGACACTTTCACTTTTGACTGGGGAGGAGGCTATGGGTAAGAATAGTCACTTTTTGTTTTTTAATTTTTTTTTTGTTTGGTCTTTTTTTTTTTTTTTTTTTTTTTTTTTTTTTATATTATCTTCATTAACCAGCGTAAAATTAATAAGCAAAGCAAATATATACCAGTATTGTTTAAGGCTAATGATAATATATTTTTTTTAAAAAGAGAATTGCATGAACAGTTATTTCTTTGAGAGTTTGCCTGATTCTCTTTCCATTTGATAACCCCTGTGTCTCCTCTATTTGCATAATGTTCAATCATTACTTATCAAGGGGACTATCAAGTTTGTTGAATTATCTTTAACATGGCTTCATGCCCCACAGAAAGTTACGCTCTGGTTCAGAGAAGATGATGCATTTAGCACTTGATGGGCCAGTTCCTGGAGATTAACTTGGTTATGCATTAAATATATCAAGTTATCAAATGTTAAAAAAAGACCTAAAATCTTAAATATGGAATATTAAAATGTGTTTTCTTTTGATGTTCTTTAATTTCTTCCTCTGTTTGAATAACGTATCCACTCTCTATTTAGAAAGTAACAAAGCTTCATGCTCTTATTGGACCTCATAACAAAGCCAATGAGTATTGGCTATTTTTAATTTTAAAGTTTGATTTTTAATTATTGCAAAGACAATCATATGGAGTGAATAGACAGGTTGTAAACATATCACATTTGCCAGTAAATCTTTCTTTTTTTTTTTAATTTTAAGGAAGCTCTAATCACTAACAAAAAATGTTTTTTGAACTTGGAGAAAAATATATCATGTAAAGGTGTGCATATTGAATCTGTTTAGTTCATGTTCAACATAGGGTACCTGCCATATTTCTGCAGTAAAAATGTTCAAAGACAACAGACAATTCAAGCAGAAATCACTGTTGTTTACTTACATGGGGTATATTAATGGAAATAATGAATTCACTTACTTATTCTTGGTCTAATGCAATGCTAATAATATTTTAATCTATTACAAATTAATGTGTTATTAACTGTAAATAATTATTTTTTTCTATCTTACTTCTAAGGGCAGATCACTCTAACTGCATAAAACTACCCTATAAGTAGCTAGAACTCTTTAGTGTGCAATGTTTAGAGCTTTCTTAACAAATATCTTTGATTTGGAAATCAATGTAAAAATTACCTCCCCTTGATTGCAGTAACAGTTAAGATTACTGAGAAAATTAACAAATTGTTTACAAATTCTATTTTCAATTCTTCAGTAATTTGATTTTATGAAATTTATGCATCAATATACATGTAATTTAAAGTTGATCTATTTCCCTGTATGATAGAGTCTCTGTACCAAAGATATTCCAGCAGGAAAGCAGGTTTACTTGATAAGGCTTCTAAAAGTATGGAGATGAATGCTGTTTTATTTGATTTTATCCATGCACACCATGTGTGAAGGTAAAAAATCTATAGCTCTGTCTCCGTAAAAATCCAAAGCAGCAACACGTTAGGGTCAATCAGATGTCAGCGCTAATCACGGGCATGTATACGTTTTAAAGTTTGTGTTTCCTTTCACAGATTTCAAACAGCTGCAGTGAAATGGCAAGAAATTTAAAAAGCATGTGCTCATGCAGTTAAAAGCTTTGACGTTTTTGTTGAAGTAAAAAAAAAAGCACGATTGCAGTAACTGTATTGAACTTGAATATAATGAGAGAGACAGAGAGAGAGCACTACACTTTTAGCAGATTTTTTTCATGCATCTGTAATGTGATTTGTTTGGGGTCAAATACCACTGAAATTCCAAGCAAAGAAAAAATTAATTTGGTAATAAAATAATAGGGGCATTAACATGGCATTAGATAAATAAAGTGACTGAGATTTATAGACTTTCAGCCTCAGTAGACCTTTTACTGGCTGTTTTATTGCTCTTTTGTCATTAAGCTGTCGATGTGCAGCTTCTGTTAAACTCCTGATAATTGTCTTCCAGTGTTAGTAACCAGGTATAATCTGTCTGTCAGTAGCCAACAAGAAAACAATGGTTAGAATCACACTCAACTTAAGAGGAATATATATATATCTGTCTTTTTCTAAATTAAGTCAACTCTTGTTAATCCGGACACTTGTGTTTCCTGGCAGATATTCGGATTAATTAAGAGTCTGGATGACTGAGATGGACCCTTTATAATTGGGTTACTTGTGTTCCCAGAAGGAGAAGCACAAGTCGGATTTTTGATGTCCAGATTAACCAGGCTCTACTGTATATCAATGCTTGTTTGAGTTTTGTGCCTCTTATTTGTCAAGAATATTACTTTATACTGTTCAAGAGCCCGTACATATTTTATAATCCCAAGAATAAAAATTTTTTTTTTTTTAATTTTTTTTAATAATATATCATAATGTTTTCTGCTGCATTGCAAAAAGAGATTTTATACCCTCATTATTAATTAGTACATAAGAATTATGAATGACTCAGAAACTTGGTGAATGATGATTTTGTCCCATGCATTTTAAACATTCCACTTATGGACATGTCTATATTACCTATATGGATAATAATAGAACCTTGTATTTTGAGATGAGTTGGCTTTCCTTTTGGGCTGATTGTGAGCTCTGGTGTTGTGACCTTAAGCTTTTTCTCACAATGAATTGCTTCTTGGGTTCCCTTTTTTGTGACCTGGGACTCGTTAGCAATGTGTGCTCGACTTTTAATTGTTAACTGCCTGTTAATTCAGTCGTGACAGTAAATTTGACAATGTCATCCACAATAGATATGTCGCTTTAGTAGAAGAATTGACACAAAAGACATTATTTTGTTCTTCTCATACATTTAGAATTATTATAAAGTACACCTGTGGCAGAAAATGAAGTATTTGTGAGAGGTAGGATATAAATAAATTTAAAAAGAAAGTAGGAATTCCGAAAACAGGTAAATTTTTAAGAAATGTATTTTTGTAATCTTAATATAAAATTCAATAATATGTTGTTGAAGAAGATTTTATAAGAGGTATGATAAAAATTAATTTGAAAGAAGATAAGTTATCTTGTTGGAAGAGTAATTTGTTTTGATAGAAGTAAACTTCTTGGGAGGTATGAGCAGTTTGACACAGTAATCCATTCTGTGTTGGATTAGTAATTAGGCTATGGATCATCAGACTAAGTTTGGATTGAAGTGACTTATTCGGGATTATTGGGCCAGTCAGACCGAGTCAATGTCTGATGGCTTTGGGACTATCCAAGTTCACCAAAGTTCTCTATGGAGTCTCCGTACTACCCATAATACATGACTGGCGTATCAGAGGGGCATTATTTTTGTTCATTCATTCATGATTTTTTATCAAAGCTTAAAAACTACACTACATTTCCATACAAAGATCGTAATTCATTGCAGACACTGTGCAGACTGTCATTATGTGATATATACGTAGGTGATCATTTGTTTGATTTTTCCGTGGTTGGGACAAATGATTGTCATATTTTGCATTAGATATTATAAATGTTCACAACTACCTAAATATAGATTTTAAAGATAACAAAGTTTATTAAGGTGTGTGTTGGAGAAACTTGAGATTTACAGCAATAGCCTGGGTTCCATTGATCAATATGTCCTCTGTGGTCCTCATGTTCTGACATAACTGAGAATTATATATCATCTATAAAAGGTTTTATCAACACTCCTTAAAAGGTAAGTAAAAACTGACATAAAACGATAACCCGGGTGGATGATCAGATGATAATGAAACTTGATAAAAGTTGCTTATGTTTGATTAGAAGGAATTTCAAATTTGGGGATATTGGCATATTAAATCCATTTATTTATACTTTTAGGGCTGCACATATATATGGTTAAGGAAACTTGGTTGACATTACTGGTAAATTAACAATACTTTTGATTACCTTAATTGTCAACAGTCCAAGTTAAATGAACCTTTATTTGTGCTGGGTAGAAATAAGTGGATAGCATACTTCAGTTCCATCCTTGAGATTAAAAAAGATAGTATATTGCCTTTGACTGCCAGTAGTCCTAGAGAGATAGACATTTGATTGCCAGTAGTCCTAGAGAGATAGACATTTGATTGCCAGTAAACATAGACAGATAGACATTTAATTGTCAGTAAACATATTCAGATAGACCTTTGATTGTCAGTAGACATAGACAGGTTGAATATTGATAGACAGGTAGACGTTTAGTTCTCAATAGTCCTAGTCAGGTAGACCTTTGATTGTCAGTAGATATAGATAGGTAGACAATTGATTATCAGTAGACATAGTCAGGTAGATCTTTGATTATCATTAGACATAGACAGGTAGACATTTGATTATCAGTAGACTTACTCAGGTAGATCTTTGATTATCAGTAGACAATTAGACCTTTGATTGTTAGTAGCCCTAGTCAGGTAGACCTTTGATTATCAGTAGACATAGACTGTTAGACCTTTGATTATCAGTAGACTTAGACAGTTAGACCTTTAATTGTCAGTAGACAGACAGATAGACCATTGATTATCAGTAAATATAGACAAGTAGACATTTTATAGTCAGTAGACAACACCCTGAGACCGGCGCTACATCAGGTGAATAAAGTTAGGCATCTTTAATTTGTCTCAGTTTGATATGTGTTTATTATATATGCACCAAATGATTAATTTAGTTTATAATATTTTTGCTTATGCCCAGTATCTCTGTGTTGTTTAGAACGTAGAATATATACATGTCAGAATTCTGTTTAATGGAAATACGCAATTCAACATTTGCACACAAATCTAACATTCTCACGAACCTTGAAAAGTTCTCAATGGTGCATTAGTGGGGCAGGTTTCTCATTCAAAAGACATAAATTCACAACAGTTTAGGAAACTAGAAACCAACTGGGTCACAGATTTCTCTCTGTTTGTGTAAAGTAATACAACCACTAGGTGTATTAAATGCTTCCAAATGCAACATTTTATAACATATATGTAATCCAATTTATGAAGGAAAACAAGAATAATTTTAAAGTTCTTGAGACATAAGGTGCTTATGTTTGGTATATAATCTACTTGTAAAGGTT